ACCTTGAGGCACTCCAGAGCTCACATGAATTAGGTCTGAAAGAACATTGTCGATCTTAACACACTGGAATCGATCACCCATATAGGAGGTAAACCATTTATGCAGGTCACTATTTATTCCTACAGATTCTAGTTTTTTTAATAGAGTATTATGTGACACCTTGTCAAAGGCTTTGCACAGATCAAAACTTAAGCCAACAGAGTGGCCCTTCTCATTTAAGTTATCGTATATAAATTGTTTGAAAGTACAGAAATCATGGAACAAAATCTATACAAGAATAAAATGAAAAATAGTGATAAAAACAAGGAAAAAAAATCAATGATTCTGTAACAATCAACATCTATACCACGACATCGGTATCCGCTACTGTATTAACTCTTTGAATCGTACCTTTAATGCCAAGCATTTGCTCGATAAGTCCATAGAATTTCTCTCGTCTATGTTTGTATAGATGCGACTAATAGAACGACGAAGACGAGGCCAAAGCATATAACAAAATTGACCTCTTGATAGGACTTGTAGCTAGGGGCCATTATTATTACTATTCGCACAGATTTTGTTAGAAACAGAATGAGTAACTTCAGAGAGAAAGTACTATTCGTACACTGATGATATCTTGATAGCACATTTCAGTTTTCTCTCACATTCAAGGTCACCTTTTATTTGTTTCTATGAGAAGAGATAAACTCTTATCTATCTTCGTTGTTATATAGAGTTTGGCCTTGGAAAAAACCTTCGTTTCACTAGTGAAATTACTTCGACTCACGCAGAAGAGCACATAAAATTATATCGGCCTTCCAAATAACGTGTAGACAAAGTGATACAGCAGAATATCTGAGTCACAGAAGGCAATTTTGTTTACCGGAAGCCATTTTAACACCCGAAATCACACAGTACGTCCCAGAGTAAAGCACATTAGTGCAAAAAACTTGAAAAATCTACTATAAGGGTCACTTGTTAAAAGAACCAAGAGCTCGACAAGAATTTTTTTGTGAAGTTTGAGTAGAGCCTGGCTTCTTCGTACTGATACATCTCTATTATACTCACGGCCAGATTATCAGATCAGTTTTTGCTTGCTTCTTTGAACCTGCCTCCTTCATGAATTTCTGTCCTTCTACAAAGTCAATTACGTTGAGCTCAGCCTACTTGAGCAGTGCCTCACCGAAGACAATAAACTGAACTGTATCCAGCTCTTCACCAACACCAAACTTCTATCGATACTTCTTCCTCGTCAGTTGGTACTCCTCCTGGTAATAGTCACACTTCAGATGGTTAGCGTACAGAAGAAGTGCAGTACCGCTTTGAAATTCAGCGTCGCTGGAGAATTCGTTTCTTCAACGTGTTACAAGCATAATACAGCTCTTGTCGGCAGGATTTGCTTTCGTGGGAATCTTTTGAGACACTGAGCAGAACGAAGTGGATTTAAAGGGCTCTAGGCCAACGTCGACCATTTTGATGCTTGACAAGTGTCAGACTACTTTTTCCTAAGCACGTCTTTGTAGATACTCACATTCGATGGCACACGCAATTTCTTCCCACAGATCATGGGTCGTCTGCGTACTGTTCTGATAGTTAACCCAGATGCTGAATTCTGCCGATTCCATTGACAGGCTATTGACCAGCTCTTTGTAGAAGACGACGTCGGCGTGGAAATAACTGATCACGACTAAGAGTTTCGAAGCAGCAGTACCAACACTAGTGCTAACAATTCTCGCTCTCTACTCATCGTCCAGATTCCATAGGATACCTTCACAGAATTTATGAATCGACGAGAGATGTTTTGGAGTAGCAGTGGCAGTACCGATCTTCCGAGCTTCACTAAGACCGTTTTTCGTAATCAGACCCTAAATGAGTTCTACAAGTTTCAGATTCTCTTTCAGATTCATCTTGTACTTGTCGTGAAATGAAATACTCCAGAGAATATTCCAGACGGCTGTCACGGCCACATACTCTTTCGTCCCTTGTTCCTTATCCATCAACCTTTCAAGTAGATCGCCGAATACGTTTAGAGTCTTGCTCCTAGTATTGCTGCCTCTGAGATAATAATCGAGAATGGCATCATTGCCGAAAAGTTTAGATAGAACGATGAGAGATTCAAGAGCTCTGTTCGTCGTCGTCTTGAGGATGAGTATGGATATAAGTACCACGACGCGTTTTGATCCGATTAAAGATCTCATTAGGTGGCTCTGATTATCTGCATAATTTTAAATTCAATCAATAATTAGAAGTAGGTTTGAAAGTTAGGTTTTATTAGATTTATCAATTTTTTGCACAGAGAAATTTTCCCTAAAATATTAACTGTAAAATTTAGAAAAATGTGTGAGAAGGTGTAAAATTTTCCGGTGAATACCAGTTGGACTGATCGGATATGCCATCAAATGTCAGGCAGACTATACAGGAAATAAGATAAACATAATTTGTGGACATCCTTACTTTAACTTAACTATAGGTATAGTTGTGAGTAAAAGTTCGGTTTTTTTAGAAGTCTAGCCTTACGTTGATGTAATGTACACAAGCTATTGATACTAAGCAATTTTCGTCCTGCAGTCTAGGAGACTCCCTTATATCTTAAGTCCTATAGAAACTCTATCCCAGTATGATTAATTCTTATCTGAGAATCAGCTGTAGACAATTGAAATTGCATTTGCTTTTCGGCTTTAGTTTTTCACTTTTGGAGTTTTGTATTAAAGAAGAAACCTCATTTTTTACAGCATTTTTCAATGTCTAACTCACCAGCAAAAACTGATCAATAATTTCTGAGTAAAAACCCACAAAAGGTTTTTGAGTATCCTATAAAATACCTTCGTCACAACAGAACATATTTGAGTGCGAGCCTAACGATGACATAGACAAAACTCGTTTCCAGAAAATCACTACAGACCCTCCTTTCATGATATTAAAGAGTTATCTAATGGTCGTATAATTCATTAAAGAACAATTTGGTTATTTTAGCGATATTCGACAAGTTGTCATAAAAATAAAACTCAAACGAAATTCTTTTTAGCGAAAAGGATAACAGTGAATGTTCTATGTAACATAAGTCTAGATAGATCGTAGTATGTTTCTTCGAGTTTTATTTAAACAAAAAACTATTCGCTATTACAAAATAGCCAACTATCACAATAAGATAATGCACGAAAGCTATAAAACAAAATGAAAGAGTTAACTGATATCGATGAATCTTAATATTTTCTTGGTTATCTAGAATCATTTACCTCACTGTACAGTTTATGATGTCTCTACGAAACCTACAATCTTTTTTGTAAGACTCACAATCATTATTTCTCTATTTATATGTGATTAAATATTCCGGATACATTTGTTTATTATCATATATAATACTTATCTCATATATATACTTGTTTTCCATCATACGTTGAACCGTGGTGTCGCGGGCATTCTCGTGTTGTAAGTAGATAACTGCCAGAAGTGTTACCAAGAAGCACACGACATAATAACATGCATTTTTCACCGTCGGCATTAGACGTTGCATAATTATCGTTATATGAAACGGATGATGAGAGGCAAAATCCAGTCTTATATGTCCTACCTATAAGGAGTATTTTAGTTTAGTAGTCATGCAAAGAAGAGATAAAAGTATATACCTACCATGTATTCTTTGATTAAAACACCGTTTGAGTATTGATTGAGCGGATTGTTGTGAACATCCATGAAAGAAACGTTTTTCTGTGTATCTCAAAAGACGCTCTTCGAATATACATTCATATGTATTATATTCTTGAAGCCACAACAAATTTTGAATACGTTCGATGCAAATAATTTGTTTTGATAAAGAAGACATTGTTCTTTGATTAAATTCATTAGCAACTGTCTAATATTCGGTCAAATGAGGAAGAAGTGACATTCGAATATCATCTTCATTATTATTTGTCAATGATGTCTCACTCCAATTCGGTGGTGGTTGAAAAGGAATTATAATATTACCCAAAAAAATGTCGATGTTTTTGACTTTCAAAAAGTTTAACGAAAACCACATCCACCGCGGAAAAGACGATTGTGAAAATGAGGTTTTCAGTGGATCAATAGACATAGGCGGTAGACCCACTGAGGCTCGAGCCTCACCAAATTTCCATAAACTGAGGCTCAGTCTCACATACTTTGGGACTTGACATTCTGTTAGTTTTTTCAGGGCATTTTATGCACTTGTGCCAGTTTCTGTCTTTGAAGAGACAGAAAATATACACTTCTCTGATAACTATTGTTAATAACAATCGTATGCGCACAATAATCATTGATTTTTTATTTCAGAAAACCGAAGTTGTCGATTCCGATCTGTAATCATCATCAGCTATAGTTTGAAAAGCTATAATTTACAATAAGCGAAAATAAGAATGAGAAAATCACTGAATGAATATATAATCATGTTTTTTATTGTAAACTATAAGTGAGGATGACTACAGATCGCAATCAAAACAAAAGCTTCGGTTTTCTGAAACAAAAATTTTTGAAAAATTAAAAGATACATTTCCTTAATCAGGTCGATATGGTCTATTAAACGATGTATAACACAAACTCTTTTGTAGCATTTAACGCGGTTACAAGTAGTGAACTTGAGACTTTCTCTCTCGCTCACATTACTGTGTCTTTTTGAATATAAACACAGTAAAAAGAGTGAGATTAGATTGCGTGGCCAGCAGACATAAGATGTTAAAGGTTAGGCTTCCCGTCTGTTGAAAAGTCGGGATAGTTACGAAGTATTTTACTTTTGTAGAAAATTTTTTCACATCTTTACTAATGTTTCATCAGAAGAATAAATTTGAAGTAACCGTGACACAGTGCTAACCTCAGAAGAGAAGAAGAAAGAAAGAGTGTAGTTATGTTGAAAAAGAATTGATGTGGTGCAATAACAGTGTAGAAAGAAGAGAACAAAGAAAAATTACTCTATCACAAGGAAGAGGTAAACTTGTGCACTAGAATACGGAGAAAAACAGAAATTTTTTTTGTGAAAAATTGTTCAATTCATCACTCATCGATCTTACTCATTCATTAATATTTGTGCTAGTTGTTGATGGTGATAAAGTAGTATTCATCGGTTCATTCAATTTTGGCCATCCGTTCGTATCATTTTTATTATAATAGAATTTTGAATTCTGTTGAGATTGAAAAGGTGGAGATGAACGAAGAAGCGGAGCGACGATTTTCTTTGCTCGATCATTTAATTGTCTGTATTTGCTGGGAATGAATAGCTGAACATCTGGAGGGTGCCTATTAGGATTTTTTCTTAGCTCATCGATCAGTTTTGCACGAAATTCTTGTAGTACTGGACATTTATAATCAGTAGATACGTGATTCTCTCCACAATTATGACATGCGATTGGACAATTTAAATGTTCTTCTCTATTAGTTCTGTCTCCCCCACAACGATGACACACAGGCGATGGACATTCGCAGGTCTTTTTTGTATGACCAGGCAAATTACACTGAGAACACATAGTGAGTCGAGACGAAGGTAAATATTCCGTGACGTGATAAACCTGGCCGTATATAGTGATCATTCCACTATTTAGAAGTGAATCAAATTCAGTTTTATTTTCTAACTCGATACATACATGTCTGTTCTTGTCATTTTCTGTTCCAATCATTACTTCAATTTTGTAAATGGATTTAAATTCTAACTTTAGTTCTTCTTCTGAATCGTTTAACGTAATAATATGATTTAGCCATTTGATGATTGCCGTTAACTGAATGGGAAGATGTTGAGGAGGATGGGGATTTATTTTTATCTTCAGTACTTCCTCTGGATATCGTTCTTTTTTAGTTAGATAGACATAAATTTCATTTGATTTTATTATCATTCTTAAATTTCCCTTTCCATCGATCCACCACAGATCCGCTAACAATGGCGATGCATATGTTGGATTTTGACGTCTAAAATCATCTTTGATATAAACAAACCATTCATTTACGATTTTCAATACTATTTTCTTGTCAGTTAGCTTTGGTTCACATTCAATTATAAATGGAATATAGTGATATTTTGATGCGAAGTCAATTGCATGTTTTGAAACTTCAGTATTATATAACTCTTGTGTGGTTGTTAAATTTTTGTTGTTGCTGTTGTGGAGGAGATTGTTCCTGTAGATGAGAGTAAGACTGCTGATTATTGTTCGCAGGAGCATTTGAATTTGTGAACGTTCGCGAAGAGTTCTGATGATTATTTCTTTCATTATTGTTATCATTTTTGTACATTCTCTTACGATTAACTGTTCTATTGTTTATTCGTACTGGATATCCACTAGTGTTAATTTCCATCTCTTCTTCGTTATTCTGATATCTCAGTTGGACTTGTTAATTGTCGTTTTATTGTGCGTGTTTGTCTCTGATGATCATTATTAGCAATATCTCTCAGTGTTTGTTGAAGACTATCACCATTATATAATCGATCCTTATTATTTTGATTCATATTATTGAATTGATTATATGTCATTTTTCAAATTTTGTTAAATAAAGTTGAATTTCGTATGCTAATCAGATGTTTTGACAGAAAACACGTGGACGTATACACACAGTATACGTACAAGTATGAGGTAATATTATAAGAGGAAAAGAAACAATATTACGTCTGTACTGTATCGTATTATAGATGTGAATGAGAAATTATTTCATGTCTGCTTCACAGCTTCTTGAATAACATCCCAACTAGCAAAATTTGGACGTATGTTTATGTTCATACTAATTAAACTGAATGGTATTTGTTCTCTTATATTGAGTTTCACAGAAAAGTCATCCTATATGCATGTTGTGTGCTTTATTTGTTCCTTCGTTTGTTTCCTTTTCGTGTTTTAGCCCATAACATACATATACAAAAACTTACGCATAGTAGTTTCCGATTGTTCCGTCGACAAGCCATGCATTCCTTGCTCATGTAGCACGATTACTAAGAATCGTTCCGAGCTGCTAAACGTCTCATTTTGTAGAGAAATGTTTGCTCTATGAATTTGTTTCAAGAAAAAGTATAAATTTAATTGTAGCATGAAAATGAGCAACGTGGAATATGATAACTGATCATCAGTTGTACAACTGTCGTCCCTTCAGCAGTTCGTTTAGAAAACTTCTAATTTAATTTTCTGTTCGATACAACTAGATAGATTAGACATTTCGTAAATCGGAGAAATTGTACACAACCGCGTTAAAATAATTTCCCCGGATGCACCCAAAATACAGTCAGAAATAACTGTCGGTAACTACGGTGGGACAAAATGTCTTATTTAAGTAAATAGTGCATATATCGAGGTATACCCTATTTGAATCCAGGAAAAACACACTTTCTATTTTTGGCCAAATGTTCGCCTGAATGCAGATTGTACTTAGATAGAGAACACTCAACTAAGACTTATTTACAATTCTTATCATATATTCCTCCTTCTAACTGAAATTTTGCTGAAGTTCCTGTTACAGCTTCGCTGCTTATAAATAGTTTGTTTGATTTATCCTTTTGAGGACGCAAGAATTATATACGCGTCATCGAATTTCGTTCCAAGGACAGGAGACGTATTTGTTAATGCACGATGGTAGAACCGAACAGATCACACAAAGAGACGAAAGGCAAAAGGAGAGGCACACGTATGTGTAACAGTGTCTTATTATGGCAGTGTGTACCTCAGTAGCAAATGCGTCTCGCATTCTCGAAGGGTTAGGACTCGTCAACCGGCCACATCGGTATCAATCCATTTTTAGGTCGAAGAATGTTTATGCAATTCGACAACAATCGTATCTACATCGACCTAATGAACGGGATGGAGCAGTAACGGACCGATTGGAATACATTTCGAAACGCTCCCTTAGTCTTCAATCTAATTGATATATTTTGACGGGCTTATACGGAGAGGGGTCCATTCTAGTTAATTTTATTTTAGTCTGTAAAGTTGACAGAACTTAGAGTGAATGCAGTGAACATTTGCTGGAAAATATAGTTTCCTTTTCTTCTTTTCTTGCTTGATGCGATTTTCCTTTCTTTTGATCTTTTTTCTTCTATATGCGTATGTAAAGAGATATAAAGGACAAAAGTGAAAAAGAATGGTATATTTTCATAGAATTATTCGTATAACAAGGAAGCACTCACTCTGAGATTAGCCTAATTAGGTCAACTTTACAACTTTTTTAAGTAAAATTAACTAAAATGTACTTACTGTGGGTTTTAAGTCCAGCTGAAGTACATGAGTTATACTCCATCTAGCAATCAGCTTTAGCGAAGTCTTTTCTTTACAGCAAGACGTTATTATCCAGGCAGGGAACTGCAAATCATAATATTCATACCGTGTATAACATAGCCAAATTCCAAAAAATAATTTTTGTTACGTGTTTTTTTACTCTCTGACTGATTATTTTGCTTTTAACTTCCCCATATTAAATTTACTTGATACTTACTGGTTACACAGCTGTGTAACCAGTAAGCATGAGATGTTAGCGATTTACTGGCCTTGGCTTTTCTTGTTCTCTAGAGAACAAGAAAAGCCAAGGCCAGTAAAGAGCTAACACTCCATCTAACTATCACGACCTGAAGAGAAAACTGGAAAATCATGGTGGTCGTCAAAAAGAGTTTATTTGACTCTCGAATATAAAAGAAGAAAGTATGATTTTTTAAACGTTAAGCAGCGATATTGAGGGCAACATCTCAAAAAACTAAAACAGATCCTTTTCTAGAAAATAGATCAGTATATAGTACAGTTTGAGCATTTCAAGCTAGGAGCCATTGCACGTAAGAAACGCCTATTCCCCAGTTTGACTGCTCTGACCCAATCCCAGATTTTTGGCTTTTATAGTTTATTCTGTAGTAAAATCTACGTTCTTTCAAATGGCGCTTTCCGATTTTAAAAATATTACTCCTAGCCAAAGATACATGCTTCACAAGATAAGGTGTAAAACGTTCAAAACGAAGAAGAAAAAACGACTTTGTAGACTAAAGCACACAGTGGGCAACTAAGCGGACATTAGGCCAAAAAGTCGATTTCGAGTGTTTTAAAAAATAAATAGTCCAAAATGTAGCCCTTTAAATTCTCTATCCAATGGTGTATAAATGTCTATTGTGAAAAT